GGGGGAGGGGAGGCAGGATTGGTGGTTTGAATTGTGGAGGATAATGATACACCCCCCTGACAGAATAGATTTACTTGTTGAGTTTGAGATTGATATTGAAACAGTTTGCTTAGGATTTGTTGTTTATGGTTTCAGCTGGGGGTCCATTGCAGTTTGTTCTCTTGTGAAGGGAAGTGAGGAGGGCACCTGGAATGTTATATTCTCTTCATTCCTCTTCCTGGCCTCTTCCTTTCTTTATCTTTATTTCTTTCCTTTTCCTCCCCTTCTTTACACTCTCCTCTCCCTTGTCTTCCTACCCCTCCCCTCCCCTTCCCGTCAATTTCTTTCTTTTGTCTTCCCTCTCTTTCCGTCCCACAGTAAATGCTCAACAAGGTTATAAAAAAATATATAGTAGAAAACACACACACACACACACACACACACACACACACACACACACACACACACACACACACACACACTCGAATCTCTCTTTTTATGCAAATAGCTCTTGTTAAGTTATGATTCACTATGCCTAAATAAAACTTAAGTCACCATCACATCCATAAACTTTTACACCTCTTGACCCCCAAATGTCACTGTCACTGTAAGAAAGTGGCTGTCAGGAGGACTGTCATGGGAGTATCATGACCTCGACGTCTCATGGTTATACAATATTTAGTTTGTATGTATTAATATCATCATACTTTGTCTCTTCCTACCTCCCTCGCCATCTTGCTCCTCCTCCTCCTTCCTCTCTTTCCCCACCCTCTTTCTCCCACTCTTCCGCTTCTCCTCTTCTTAATATTCATCCATACCCCTCTCCGCTCTCCCCTCTTTCATTCTCCCTTCTTGCATTCTCCCTTTTTCTTTCTTGTCCTCCTCCTCCTTCACCCTACTCTCCTCTCACCCTTACTCCCCATCTCTCCCCACCTTCCTCCCCATAACATTTTCACCCCTACTCTACCAAGCTGTTAGGTCACGCGTCAACTTATTATGCCACTTAACCCAATCAAAACACTCAGGTCTGTAATTAGTATACTGTGACGTCTTCTTAACCTAGAGAGGAAGCTGTGTAGTGTGTGTGTGTGTGTTTGTGTGTGTGTGTGCTCTCTCTCTCTCTCTCTCTCTCTCTCTCTCTGTTAGTAATTAAACCTGCAAGAATAACGTGAACATTAGCCCCTTTCCAGCTTATTTCACCTGATGATTAAACACCTAACCTAACCTAACCTTTACTTGGTCACCTCCAGGAGTGTCAAGGCACGGGAGGGGGGGGGGGTGTTATCAAGTTCCACTCGACCGTCCCCAACTGCTGCTGATTGACCCCTATTATGTCAAGCGTCAGTGAGAGCGAGTGAGAGCCATAAACTCTCACTCTATTCTCACGTAATTTAATGTACTCTTACATGTATGAAGGATGTAACCAATGTTTAGTTACCTAACCTAACACTAACCTAATGCTAACCAAAGTTAACTTGCCTTAACCCTTTCAAGGCGTAATATGTCAATTATTCTTTCAGTGTAAAGTAAGAGAAAACATTGACCTTAATGTTTAATTGGGTAAAGAGTTGTGTCAAGTGAAGTGTTGCCAAATAACTAAGACACATAGGAGAAGAAGAGGGAAGAGGGGTAGGAAGGAGAAGAAACAAACGGTAAAGCGGGGGAGGGGGTGGAAGGGGAAGAAGAAGGGAGCGAAAGAGTGAAGAAGAAGAAGAAGAAGAAGAATCTCTTTAATAGTTAGAATGTATCATAACTGAGGAAGATAATCAATCATTCATTATTATTATTTTACTAACTCAAAAATAATGGAAGAACTGTAGATACAAATACAGGTACAATACATCATTTATTTCCGGGTCATCCATCCGTGCGTCTGTGTGAGCATGACGCTGATAACTTATCACTTCGTGTCCAGCAACATCCGGTGGATTCGCACTAGAAGGCCATGCACGTAGTGACCACAAGTGCTACAGACGTGCCTCGAGAGTGTGTGTGTGTGTGTGTGTGTGTGTGTGTGTGTGTGTGTGTGTGTGTGTGTGTTTTCTGACCCCGAGGTTTACATACCACCTCCGTCAATGTCATGAAGGACTTTGTCTATTTAGAGGTCACACAGCATGGTGCGTATGTGACGTCACTATTACTCTGCACACAGCTCTAGTTTTACCAGAGAGAAGCAAAACACGTAAAGGTGCAAACAAACAAGCATTGAAATTATGGCGAGGATTCCCACCCACGACGCCCAAACACAAACAGCCGCACCACCAGCGTCATTCAGAAACAAGTGACTAACGTGTCGCTGAATTCACTTGGATTGTGTTCTTAATAGGCATTTGACCGCGACACTTAGCCTGCTTTACCGCCACCCCGGCTGACGAGAGGCAACACTGGCACGACACAGTGAGTGATACTTGGTGGTGAATTTATGACTATTTGTCAAGATTTGGTTACCCCGCCCGGACTGCAGGACTTGACAGGTGATCTTTCATTCAATGTGTTATGTATTTTATGTTATATTTACATCATATTTTATAGATGACGGCTTAATATATCACGGAATAATATTATGGCTCAAGTAACTTTCAAAACCATAAAATAAGACTCAAATTATAAGGTAAAATATCATATATTTTAAGAGATGTAAAGGTGTGGTGAATTAGAGGGATTTTCCTTTGTTACGTTGCATTACGTGTGGCAAAACATCGTGACTGTGAATGAGGTACTGACCAGGACACCAGACTGCAGTACCCACCAAAGTGACCAAATTCCCACCGGCTTACCGTAAAAACCCCGACCATGGTCCTCTCTCTCCCTGGCTGCGTTACTGTATCGCCAGGCCTCCTGTGGGTAACGCCCAGGGGGTCGACTCGTCAGTACTTAAGACACAGCTCTCTGGCAGCCTCAACGTGGTAGTCATGCCTTCACCATGCTCAGCCTAACCTTTCCTATGTTGAGTTTACCATCCAAAGGTATAGTCCACACCATACCTTCCTCAATGCACAGGTCACCCTCTCCATGTAGAGCCCACCGTAAAGCTCACCCCATGTAGAACTCATTCTTCCCACATACTCCCTATTCTCCCCATGTAGAGCCCGCCCTTTGCATGTAATATCCGGGATGCGTCTACTCAACAGAATTTTCCTGCAGGTGGTGATGGTGGGGAGGGAGGAGCAGCGGGGATTACACCATGGTCTCATCACCCGTCATATTAGACCCTGGCCATAAAAAAAACAACGTTGGCATGAGCAATCAACACCGCCTGACTAACTTTTCCTTCCTGTACTGACACACTTATACAACGAACCATTCTGGCTATAGTGGACACCTTACGTCTATTACACACAGTCACCTCCACCTTCCTGACTTCAGATTATAAAGGAACATTGTTTTTATTCAACTTGTAATTGACGCTGGGAACGTTATTTTGATATTAAGATATAGTGATATATTTGCAAATCCAGTGTAGATAATAAAATATACTGTATAACAAATTCTTTATATATAACGAGAGTCCGTGATAGTTTTAATCATTCTCTCTCTCTCTCTCTCTCTCTCTCTCTCTCTCTCTCTCTCTCTCTCTCATATATTAACACCCACGCCATGTTAAAAACGCCTAGTAATGACTTGATGAAGTTGGCTGATAAATAATGTAAGGGGTGACAAGACAATGGCATCCCAGAGGATCACTCTCGTTGAGGTTATAGAGCGCCTCGTGTGTGTGTGTGTGTGTGAGACTCCATCCCCACACACCTCGTCAGGTATCCCAGCTCACCTGAATACCTCCAGAGCCCTTTCCAACCTCTCCCAAGCCCCCAGAGCTCCTTTAAACCCCTCCCCAACCCCCAGGGCCCCTTTCAACCTCTTCCCAGCCCTCAGAGCCCACTAAATACATCAGCTCTTCTGCAGGTCTTCCTAGGGCTAGAGCACATCGATACCCCGCCAGCCCCATTCCACCATCACGGTCAAAATTTACCCAACCCCACTCAAGCTCCCACCCTCAGCCTACTTTCAGATGACATCAGAGCCACCTCATACTCTCAGTCCCCTCCCGCAGTCCCCATCAAGATCCTCCTCCTCCTCAGAGAGAGAGAGAGAGAGAGAGAGAGAGAGAGAGAGAGAGAGAGAGATTTCATTCCCTTTAACCTTACATTCTCTCATGACGTTCTTTAAATATTCACACCGTAAACATGTTAAACATTTTAGTGGCTGTAAACGATGGAGGGAGAATGTGACGTAATCCTGAGTTTTAAAGTAAATTTAACGAGAGTAGAAGGAGATGATGATGAAAAAGAAGAAAAGGGGGAGGAAAAACAAAAGAAAAGTTAAATGAGATATAGAAGAAGAAGAATAGAACTTCGAACTATATAATAAGAAGAAGAAAGGGAAGGAAGAAGAAAATATATAAGTAAAAGGAAAAGTCATCATCGCCGTCAAATTACAAAAATTTGTCTTCAGGTCACTGAGCCGAGAATTTATGACCCTACTTTACACTGATTCTTGGAGGTTGGCCCAGCTGGTCTGAGGATGAGAACCTTTAGTTGGGAGGCTGAAGTGTGATGCCACATGAGGGACTCCCTGCTGGATCGCCGTCAGGGTGTGAGGAGGGAGCCGTGGAGCGGGGTGAGGAGGGAGCTGTGGAGGGGTAGGGTGAAGAGGGGTAGGGTGTGAGGCGGGGTAGGGTGAGGAGGGGTAGGGTGTGAGGCGGGGTAGGGTGAAGAGGGGTAGGGTGAGGAGGGGCAGGGTAGTGACCATACCCTCTTAGCCTGGAATGTCCGAGTTGCGGAGTTTGATAGTTGTGTCATTGTTGCCTCGACCCTCTCGTTCCTCAACCTCAGGAGGACGAAGTGAGAGAGGGGGGAGAAAGAGAGAGAGAAACAAGGCAAAAAAAGAGAGAAATGAAGTGAAGTGAAATAAGAGGTGTGTGTGTGTGTGTGTGTGTGTGTGTGTGTGTGTGTGTGTGCAACTCTGTATTATTTCTTATCACATGTTTCTTGGGTCTCAGAGCAGGACAAATAAAACACCAATTATAATACAATTTTAAGTATATTTTCACAATACCAGAAAATACAAGTGTTATTCCCTTACACGGTTTAGTATCACAGATTGGGTTCATGGAACTTGTCATTACGTTAGGGCACAACAAAGACGACTCCATGGTGCTAAATGTTTAAAGACAGATTTTTAACACGTACATCAAGGAGAGTCGTGGTGGTGTTACATGCTCTTGGATATGCGAGTGAACATTTCATCAAAAGTTTTCCAAATTTTTAAGATATTTAATTTTTTTTTCTAAATGTTTTGTTTGGACTTTACGTCATATCCAGTAACTGAAATGAAAACTTTTGATAATGTTACAATTGAAACCGCTGTAGGTTTTCCAAAGCTAACTCTCTAAATGAAAAAAAAAAATATTTCCACGTTACATCTGGTTAATTTTTGTTTTAACCTTTAAGCTGTTGAATACAATTGTCTGTGGTAGTCAGAAAAAAAACGATAAAGTGTGATAATGGCACCGAAGGGGTTAATAATGTGTAGAATAAAAAATTGACAAAGTTCAGAGGTACACACTACTAAGGCAACAGTTCCCGTCCGTGGAGGAGGTGTTGGCCCATGTTGGCGGGTTCCAACCATCAACAGGCATAGTTTGTTTACATCCAGCAAGCTGTCTCTCATTACTTGGAAACAAACAGACGAGTATTCAAAGTTGTTCCTTAACCAGACAATACATCATACATATAAGTTTGTATTTAGCAACCAACACTGATTTACAATTTAGTTAACTCTTCATATTTTGGAACAAATTAACGCTTACAGTATGGTGGATAAGAACGACAGGATTACAAGACCTTATAAACAGTATGTCCTTCCACCTCGTCTGTTTCACTTTGGTACCCTTGACGAAATGCAAATTCATGAAAAAAATATATATGTACAAGTAAACAAATGTTATCTACCTTAAATCTTCTTGTGATTCTTATCTTATCTCTATTTTATTTACTTATTAAGATAAAGGTCCCTTAAGTTAGCCATTAATTCAGCTGTTAAGGTTAAGTTGTGTTATTTGTCCCCACACAGGAGGACACAGTACAGTAGTTTAACCTTATCGGAACAAAGTGTTATCATGACTACACCAGTAAACCTATACACTCGCCTGCACCTTACATTACCATGCTACAACAACCATATAAAGTGTATGTGTTTGTTTCTGTCTGTGTGACTTCATATTCCAGAAGCGTCTAACAGAGATAAAAAAAAATCAGTGTTATATTTATCTGTTGTATTGCTTTTGTTTTCCCCGTTTCTCCTTGTGAAGTTAAAGTCATGTTGTCGCTCATTTACATATTGATTTATGATCTCTCTAACTGTAAATTAATCCTAGTAACATCTTAAGACATTTCAAATACAATCAATTATCCGGTGTGTACGTTCTTTATAATGATCGGTAAGCAAATATTGACAGAAAATTGGAAAACTACAATTGGTGGCAAGTGGCGGGAATCTTGAGAGAGTTGTATGTGACTACTGAAGGCGCTGAGGAAGGTATTGTAAGATTCTTAAATGGGATGTGTTTTGACCAGTAGATTATTAGCATCTGAAGAGCATATTCTCCATCGATAATATGCCTCAGTTAAATACAAATACTGTACCATTATCAGTAGCTCAGGAGGGTCAAGCATATTTACTTTTCACCAAAATCAATATACAAGAGTATATTTGTGAGCTACTTAAAGAATGACATATTGGGGGTGTGTGTGTGTGTGTATTTTTTTATGAACACAAGATAGTTTAATGTTTATGAATGTTGTCTCTCGTCTGTGTTTATCTTGCTTTGATTTTTTTTACCATACAAGCAGTTGGCCAGTCCCTCTCCCTCTCCTCCTCCCCTGGTGTAGATCAGACTTTCTATATAGTAAAGAAAATGTGTTATTTAATTGTTTTCTTAAGACTAATTTCTTTTTCTTTTTTTTACAACCCTAATTAAAGCCTATCATTTAACCATTCGACGATTTCATTACTGCTGAATGTTTTATCGAGTTTATTAATAATAAACTCACTTAGAATTCTATGTATTTTTGTTAATTTTGGTTGATTTCAGGCCAAATGGGTTTCAGCTCTTAATAGAATCCAGCTTAATCATTAATATCTGAACCCAATAGTTGTGACGTTTCCTTAGGGTTAGGGATTAGGATTAAGATTGGGATCTATTATGACTGGATTCTATTTAATCACTTATCGTGTGATACATATTAAAGACAAGTAATTATTATTTATATAAAGCATATTATGGTCGTGTAAGTCATCATTAAGTGAGTCAGACACCCGGAAGGCTCCATAAAATACATTAAGAAAATATTTCATTATCTGACATTTAACTACTTTAACATAAACCATGAACTTGAGGACAAAGGTATCCTAAACATGTACAGAAAAAATAAAGCGAAAAATATTTATATAGAGAACCAGATGCCAAATAAAGTTAGAGATGTGCGATTAAGCTAGTCCTTTATCGAGATTCGAACCTGGTTGAATGGGCCCCTGTTCTGATAGACCTCAACTTAACGTAACTGAAAAGATTAAGGCCCTTTAGGACTGGGGCCCATTAGAATTTGGGGCCTATTGGAACTTGGGGCGGGGAGCTATTTGAGCAGGGCTGTATTTAGAGGAGTGTGTCAACAGTGTCAAGGTGTGGAACTTAAGCTGTCACATGACCAGTGGGGTCCTGTTGCAACCCACAGCGTCCAGGGCGACGGGCGTCATCACCAAACACACTGGTGTGAGCTGGAGTCTTGGCCACACTACTATAACACACGTACAGCGTGACATCTGTTTCGCTTTTTTTCCATAAGCTGATACACGTTAACTTGTACTTGCTGAACCTCAAACCGTTTATTCTTAACAATTTCAATATCGAGTGAGTGAGATGCTCAGTATCAAGGCACAAAATATTCACGGGCATAAGTTTGTTATTTTCACACTTGACAGATTTGGGGACCAGTATGTTTATTGTTTACTTGCAGATGAGGTGGAGGGGTCATTCTGGCAACACTGGTTGAACAGTGTATGCAAGATCTAGATGGTATCAGCGCTGCAGGAGAACTGAGACTGGTGACAACATCAGATAAGGCCAAAATGGTGACAGTAAGGGACGCAAGGCCAAGGGGGTGACACAATACACTGGTGAGGCGGGAGGGTTGTGTTGCAACGTTGCGGTTGGTGTCGCAGCCTGTCTTGCCAGCTTGCCCTTCACACTCCTCCCATGCCTTGGATGCCCCTCTCTTAGGGACTCCACTCAAGTACCCTTTTCAGAGACATCCTCTTTATAAGAGACCCTAATCAGAATCCCCTCTTAGGAACCCTCGACGGTGTGTTCCAAGGACCCAGGTTCTGGTCACTTTAAGGTAGGGGAGACGCTGCCAGCCGCACGATCCTCGGGGCTCTCAGCTCTTTACCGACTTGTAGGTCAATAGTAGACCCTGCGATGCTGTCAACCTCCTCAATAGTGGCGATTGAGGCTCCGCTACGAGGAGTGTACGGCGTAGAGGCGCGGGGGGGACTTCTAGGGCCTGGTGGGCTGTTATCATTGTTGTTCCGGCTCATCAGCTTCTGGGAGGAATCTTGGTCTGCGGGTTCGTTCGTATAATATAAAGCCGAATGTCTTCGTGCCAACAGGAGAGCAGCGACGATCACCAGCAGCAGCGCCAGCACCAGACCGCAACCTACGCCCACAATAAGTGCCATGTGGTCGCCGAAGAATATATCGAGGCTCTCAGTCATGTCTTTACTAGAGTCTGTGCTGAGATGGTCACGGGGTGGTCGTCGTTCGTCGCTCTGTTTATCTCCTAACCAAGCTGGCCACGCTGGGGCATCATCGACACACTCGGGCACGTGGGCCTTGTCCAGTAGCTGCAGTTCCTTACCAGCCAGCTCCGGCGGCCCCGAACACCTGAGGCACCTCGGCGACATGGGCATAATGCGACACACAGACTCTGCGTGAGGATGGCGGGAGGCATGGGGATCCTTCAACCAGTCAAGCATGGGGGCCACATGGCACCGCTGGCATTGCCATGGATTTCCCTGCATCCATACTTTCTCCAGTGAAGCCATGGTAGTAAAGGCAGTGACCAAGTCTCGTTCCAGCCCGCGGAAATTATTGTGAGAGAGGTCGAGGATAGTGAGGTGGGGAGTAGCGAACAATGCAGACACCGGGAACTCTGACAGGTAGTTCCCGGACATATTGAGGCTTTTCAGATGCCGTGACTGGCGGAGCAGGTCACCCGGGAGCTGGGTTATGCCCATCTCTGCTAGCTCCAGGTGTCGCAACTGCCTGGTACGAGGGATTACATGAACCAGCTTATCTACACGCATGGGGTTGCCGGTAAGTCGTAGGTGTCTCAGCCTGGTGAAACCATCGCTCAGGGCGTCAGATCGGAGTCTCGTCAGCCGGTTGTATGCCAGATCTAAATGTTTGAGAGAAGAATTGGCCATGGCCAGGGGATTCATTGAGGCTAGTCGATTATTGGCCAGCGTGAGGGTGGCCAATGGTGGGCCAGACAAGCCGTTTGTCACCAACGTGGACACGTGATTTTCATCGAGGTGCAGCGTCGATAAGTGTCTCGACGCCGCCACCGGCGGCACCTCCGTTAACCTGTTTTGTCGAAGGTCCAACAAGCGCAGCTCCGGAAGTGCCTCTAGAAGTTTAGCTGAGACAGTCTGGAGGCCACACGCAGAGCACCTCACCTCTCGTAAATTAGGAGAATCAATGAAGCGGTCATGTGGCAATATGCCCAAGGCATTGTGACTGATGTCGAGAGTCTCCAGGAGAGAGAGGCCGTACAGCAGCCTGGGCACCATCTCAGGTAGGCGATTGTTTGCCAGACTGAGGTAGCGAAGATTCCGTATGTGGCGAAACACTGCAGACGGCACCGACTCCACCTGGTTGTGACTCAAGTCCAGCGTATGTAGGTTGTCGGCACCCCGGAAATTAGTGTCGATAATGGCGGTGATGGCGTTGTGAGAGACGTTGAGGGTATGGAGGCGCCTGAGTCCCCAGAAAGAGTGGGCCCCTAACGCGGGCACACCTGAGCCCGTCACGCTCAGCATCTCTAGACGGCGATGTTCTTTAAAAATGGGGCCGAGAGTGATGGTGTTGGGGCGACCTGGTGGTGAGCCAATCTCCAGCACCTCGGCGTCAGAGGGCATGTCTAGCACAGGAAGGGGGTCCACAAGCCCTCCTGTATTGCAAATCACCTGGCGACGGCCTCGCAGGTCAAGGGGACAGAAGCACATACGGGGGCAGGAACCTGGTGGGGCAGCGGCCACACACGCCGCCGCCGCCACACACGCCGCCGCTGCTACACACAGCAGCCGCATCCGCACCTGAAACAACACATAAATCAGTGAGGGTGTTATGAAGTGTTACACCTGTCACTGTCAGCCATGGTCACAAGTACACGGCAACGGGAAGTTGAATACCGGTGGCGTGAATGGCAGGATCAGGTGGATAAAATAGGAAGTAATTTCACAGTCTGATACTCATTTTATGGAGGAGAGTGAATTGTTAAAATCATCACTTGACTTACAACTGTGACTGGCGTGGTCCCAGCACAGCCGGAGCCTACTCCAGGCAGGCTGACTAGGCCACTGACAGCTCTCACCACTGAAACTAATTTACAAATGAATTTCTTATAATAATTAATATGTCGAAACTAAGATTCAGCTTCAGAAAACAACAGCTATCATAAAGTTTGTGTGTCCTACAAATGTTCAGGCATCAACGTTTAGAGAACATCCTCGGCACCACCACCACCACAAACCGATTGACTGACTGACTGACTGACAAACATCATCCATCCCAAGTGTGGCAGCGTCTACCAGACCAGGAAATATATACTGTTCTTGATTAAATCTTTTTTCTTTATTATTATTTTTTTGAATACGGCCGTCGGGGAATGTGATTGAAGTCAACAGAATGACATTGGTTCCTGAACTTAGTGAGGATAAAGCTCCCTGGCTAGATGACCTTGATAGACTCGTGCACACCACCGCTCACAAGTTGCCGGGTCTTTGTTGCCCATAATGCACCGGATAAGGGAAAAAATACAAATAAACTCATCACTTACAAGCCATAAAGTGCAAAAGAAGGCGTTGTCGCACTGCAGTATAATGTTTAGTGTATACAAGAGCTGTAGTGTAAATAATCATGAAGTACTAATATATTTATCACGTGGTTTAGCCAGACACCGGATGAAGTTATATTCTGCGGTGTTGACTGTCAGTTTGTGTTGGTAAAAATATAATGCAATATATATCATACCCCAACACAAAGGCCTCCTAGAGAAACAGTGTGAGTGCGTGCAAGGCCCACTCACATATTTGTCCTGAATTCGCTCCCGCCAGAATACCCAGCAAGCATATCGTGTCATACAAGCCCTCACCAACACAAACATCAATATCCACGCCAACACAAACACCCACATCCACGCCAACATCCGCACGAACAATCATCTACCACATCAAGCCTCGAGTTACTACATCCCTGGATCCGCTGTCTACATCTACACTCACACCTGTGCTCTTACCTACACTTAAACAACAATTGCTTACCTAAATCACGCCCGAACCTCCTCCACCCACACCACCACCCACACGCCCCCTACCCTCCACCCTACACTAACGCCTCCACCCTACACCTACACTAGCACATATTATTATAAACTTCTAACCAGCTGGAAACGAGGGCACATCAGGCACCAGCTGGAAGAAATATTTCACAGCTGGGCACCAAGTTTAACATAATTTTGGCTAAACTTTGTGTGGCGTAGGTTAGGTTAGATTAGATAAATACGTCCTCACATTTCTAGTTAATGAGAATATTTAATATCTTTAAGAATGTTATCCCGTGACGCCACTAACTAGGGGATAAATTTAACGTACGAGGCTCTAAGAATCCAGACTTTAGCGCCACAATAGAGGACCATAGACAGAGTCACATCCGGGCCGGTGTTGGGTGACTTCCGGTAATGGCGACCTCTCTCTCTCTCTCTCTCTCTCTCTCTCTCTCTCTCTCTCTCTCTCTCTCATCCCTTTAAATAAACAATAACGTCAAATACACCATTATGTAATATGATCCGTGAATCACATTAATACAAACCAATTAATTCGCCCCGGGTGATGAAAGCTATATACCCATCAGGTTATACTATCTTCTGGTGCGGAGATTAAACAGTTAACACACATCCAAACAAACATGGCGGTCAGGAAGAGAATTTTTACAGGAGGAATAATATTAGGATACTGACATCATCGGCATACTTCGCTCGCTCTCCTTCCTTCCTCCCTCACTCCTTCCTTCTCCTCTAGATCTTATTCCCTCTCTCCCTCCCTTTTCTCTTTCCCAGTTCCTTCCTCACACTTTATCCCTCTCTTTCCATCCTCCCTTCCCTTCTATCCCTCCCAACGCATTCCTTACTTTCTCCCTCCTTTGCCAACATTCTCCCTCCACCCCCCCCTTTCTTCTCTCCCTGCCAGCATCCTTCCTTCATTCCTCCCTTTTTCTCTCCCTTCCAGCATTCTTCCTTCATCCCTCCCCCTCTTCCTTCACACTTCAGCCTCCCATTATCCAAAAATTCTTCCATGTAGTTCACTTCTTTATGTCTACTCTTCCTTTTTTATCAATTATCTCTTCTTCTTCTTCTTCCTGCTCCTCTTCCTCTTCTTCACAGGTCTATTACATTTATTTTAGTCTCTATCACTACTACGGCCTCCTCCTCCTCCTTTCTATTCCTTCTACTCCCATTTGCTTCTTATTCTTCCCTTTTTTCGTTGCTCTTCCCTATCTTTTTTCCTCCCACTCCTCTTTTTTCCCCTTTCCCTTCTTCCTCCTCACTCCTCCTCCTCTTCCCCTTTCCATTTCCTTATCGTTCCTCCCCGCCCTCCTCCTCTTCCTCTCTCCAATAAACATCACTGTGTTCTCGTGTTTACACTTTCATTACTAATTTCCGGTTCTCCTCACCCTAACTTGACCTACCTGACCTGACCTGACCTCTGTGACGGCGTCCAAACACCTCTGCTTTAGTTACTTTTCGTAAGAGGAGGATGTCAAGAATATGGTTTACCTTGAGCCAATCGGATGCCTTCTCACAATGTATATAAGATAAGAGTGGAGGAAACTGTAGCTGGTCTATTGGCCCATAATAGACAGTCCCGTTTACACCCATCCCCTATCACTCATATATCCGTCCAGCCTATATATGAAGCTTTCCAGCGTGTTCGAGTTAATGATGATGTTTGGTAACTTGTTCCACTCATCCACTATTCTATTTCCAAAACAATGTTTATCTATCTCGCGCCCAAGTCTAAAGTAGTCTGATTTAAAACCATTGCTACGAGTTCGCTCCTGGTTGGAAAGTTTGAGTACCTTTGTTATATCAAATTTGTTTAATCCTAACTTCCATTTATACACCTCGATCATATCGCCCCTCACTCGAGGGAGTGCAAATTCAGATGTTTTAATCTGTTTCGATATTCATGGTTCCTAATGCCCGGGATTAGTCCTTACAATAATTTATAAATATTTGTCTTTAGATACGTTCTTACATACTTAGTTAAGGGAGAAGAAATAAATTCACAATTACCTGAACTATTTGACGTCAGAAGTGTTCTCAACTTAACTAATCGCTCGGGAATATTTACACACGAACATTAAAAAACAGATCTTGTCCTTGTATATGTTCTAATATGACTTAGGAGAGAAAATAAAAATAGAAAAATATCATCACACGCCATCTTATAAATCTGGGTGTTTATATAAAGTGGGAAAAATTGACGTAACAGCTTGTGAGGTCTTGTGGGTGGTGGTGGCGGCCGGGTGGTGAGTGTCGGAACCCTGAGAGGATGTAAACAAAGTGTAGAGAGTGACGCTGAGGTGATGGTGACTCTTGTAACCCGAGGTAGGATGACGATGGGGAGGATGGGTCTCGGGGAGGATGATGGCGGGAGAGGAGAAAAGGAAGGAGAATATAAGGGGAGGAAAGGGGATGAAGAGAGGATGGAGGATGGGAGGAGGAAGGGACGGTAACAGTGTCGTAACCTGAGGTGGAGGAAGGGGAAGAGGGGTAAGAGGAGGAAGGAGGTAGAGAGAAGGGAGATAAGAAAAGGAAAGAGGAGGAATGGAATGAAGGTAAGAAAGGCAAAGAAAGGGAGATGAAGAAAATGAGAGTGAAATAAGAGTGAGAAGAGGAGGAGAGAATGAGAGGAAGGGAAAGTAGAAGAGAGAGATAGAAAGAGTAGGACAAGAGACGTATGGGGAGGGAGGAGAGGAAGTAAAAAAGAGCGTAGGGGGAGATAAAGAACAGTACACAGGGGAGATCAGAGTATCGTGAGGGGGGAGAGAGGGGCATAAAGGGGAGAAAGGGGGAGATAGTGAGAGATTGGAGGAAACGCTGTAAATGAAGGACTCGAAGGAGGGATGGAGAGGGAAGAGAGAAAGTAGGGAGGGAGGGAAGAAAGGAAGGAGAAAAAATGAAGGAGGGAGGCAGGAGGAAGAAGAAATGGGGGAGACAGGAGAGGATAAGAAAGTAATAATGGACGCAGGGAAAAGGAAGGGGAAGCAAGGAGGGTGGGTGAAGAGAGGAAAGAGAGAGAGAGAGAGAGAGAGAGAGACTTGGGGATGTGAAAACAAAAAAACACGAAAGAATAGAGGGAGGGAGGGAGGGATTGGAAAAGGTAATATGAGAGAAACGGAGAAAGAGAGAATAGTGGGAGAAGGGCCAGAGAGGGAGAGAATACAGGTGAGGTGTGTGAATGTCGCCGGAGAGTCATTGTATTCGCGACATTCTTCTTCATCTGTGGGAATGCCAGAACGAACCTTCCCCCTCACCACCACCCCTAACACAACAGCCTGACTACACACATCCATGAAGTATACAACGACTAACTCAATTAAGAAATAAAGAACTAACTACTTAATATATTTTACATGTTCATTAGAAAACAATTGGCAACACTATCACTTGTTTTATGATGTCAAAATATAAGAAGTCTTGCAGTGACATAGCGACGTGGTAACAGTGTTAATAAGTTGAAATTTATATCTGATTTTGTTATTATTACTATTATTACTGTTACTTTTTTTAATAGACGAATGTATCGAAAATAAAACAAAACAGCGCGAGTTGTATTGGAGACCATGGAGGTTGCCACACAAACAAATGCCAATCGTATTGTCATAAACGAATAAAGGGATTGAATACGACTGAAAAGGGATTTAGGATTAAGTCTATTGGGTTTGGACAGAACAAAAGACTGCCGGGGTAAGGAGGATTATTCTAAGCAGAATCGGCTCTGGCAAGTAGATTATGGGATTAGTTCTGCTAGCGGCGGTGGGGAGGGTGGTGGATGTGAATGTGGAGGGGGGGGGGGATGAACTAGATTTACATAGAGCTCTCCCACCAATGATGATAAACGTAACATCTGGCAATTTGAAAGATGGTTAAGAACGCGTGGTGATTGCATTCTCATTCTGTTCATTGTTGTTCAAGGAGTAAAAACCTACAGTAAGTTTAGAGAGAGAGAGAGAGAGAGAGAGAGAGAGAGAGAGAGAGAGAGAGAGAGAGAGGCGTGCGTGGTGCATGATACGAGTTGACGTTACAATGTTATTACAAG